AGATAGAGGGTTTGTTTAGGGGTGGGTCAATAGGGGGGGTGGCTGGGGGGAGATAGAGGGGTTTGTTTAGGGGTGGGTCGATAGAGGGGGTGGCTGGGGGTAGCTGGGCTGGGGGGGTGATAACAGCTGTGGGAGGAGGCGAAGCAGGCATGGAGGTGTGCGCACAAGGGCAGCGGCCGACAATACACCAAGTGGCTCAGAGCTGCCAATCTCCCTTTAATAGCGTTAAAGAGCTTCTCATCCCCTGGCCGAAAATGTGATCAGCGCTCCTGAAATAGCCTCGTGTGTGTGTGGTCCCCGGGGGGGGAGGGGTGGTCTATCAGAGCCCCCCCGCCCCCCCCCCCCCCACCTACCCAGGAAGTCTATATAAGCAGGGAAGTGCGAGGGCTCGGGAGAGAGGAGACGGAGCCAGGGAATCAACCTCCAAGGGCCAGGGATCTGAGCGGAGGCTCGGGGCGCTAGGCACGGGGATCAGGGCGAAGGATCGCGCTAGGCCGGGGATCAGGGCGGAGGCTCGGGGCGCTAGGCCGGGGATCAGGGGCGCTAGGCCGGGGCTCGGAGCGGAGGCTCGGGGCGCCATGGGGAACAGTAAAAGCGGGGCGCTGTCCAAGGAGATTCTGGAGGACCTGAAGCTCAACACCAAGTACTCGGAGGACGAGCTGTGCAAGTGGTACGAAAGCTTCCAGAAGCAGTGCCCGGACGGGCGCATCAGCCGGGCCGAGTTCGAGAAGATCTACGGCAACTTCTTCCCCAACTCGGACCCCAAGGTCTACGCCCGGCACGTCTTCCGCAGCTTCGACACCAACGACGACGGGACGCTGGACTTCCGGGAGTACATCATCGCCCTGCACCTCACCTCCTCCGGCAAGACCAACCTCAAGCTGGAGTGGGCCTTCTCCCTCTTCGACGTCGACCGCAACGGCGAGATCAGCAAGAGCGAGGTGCTGGAGATCATCACGGTGAGTCCGGGGCAAGGGGTGTGTGCTGTGAGCTTCCTCGCTGCAGTGCCCTGAGGGAGTGCTGTGAGCCTCCTCACGGCAGTGCCCTGAGGGAGTGCTGCAAGCTTCCCCACAGCAGTGCCCTGAGGGGTGATGCGAGCCTCCTCACGGCAGTGCCCTGAGGGAGTGCTGCGACGCCTCCCCACAGCAGTGCCCTGAGGGGTGATGCGAGCCTCCTCACGGCAGTGCCCTGAGGGAGTGCTGCGAGCCTCCTCATGGCCGTGTCCTGAGGGAGTGCTGCAAGCTTCCCCACAGCAGTGCCCTGAGGGGGTGATGCGAGCTTCCCCACAGCAGTGCCTTGAGGGGGTGCTGTGAGGTTCCCCGCAGCAGTGCCTTGAGGCGGTGATACGAGCTTCCCCACAGCAGTGCCCTGAGGTGGTGCTGCGAGCTTCCCCACAGCAGTGCCCTAATGGGGTGCTGTGAGCTTCCCCACAGCAGTGACCTGAGGGGGTGCTGCGAGCTTCCCCACAGCAGTGCCCTGGGGATGGGGAAACAATGTGAGTGCTCCCGCAGCAGTGTCTTGTAGGAATTTCAGCCCCAGAAGGGCGGGCGGGGGGGGAACAAGGCGTGCTGCAAGCTTCCTTCCCAGCAGTGCCCTGGGGAGGGGTAGATGTGCAGGCTTGCCGAGGCACCCTGAGAAGATTCCTGGTGCTCACCGAGCCAGAAAGTTTTTCCCCAGCTCCAACCGCGATTCCCCCTCGTGGCAAATGAAACCGATTCCCGCTTGTTCTGCCCGCCGAGGGGACCGGCTCCCTCAGCCAGTGTCACAGCCTGTCCTCAGGGGCCCCCCCTCTTTTCAAGTGCGGCGCCCGAGGCTGGACTCCCCCACTGAACCTGTTGCCGCCCGTGTCTGACGCTCCCGTGAACGGAGGCCGGTCACAACGGGCCCATTTACCCCGGTATCCCGCCTGCTCCCTGCCCCTCCCAGGCCCATCTAGCCCGCTGTCAATCCCCTGCTCCCAAGAGGCACCGGGAACATGCCCACAGCCAGCCCGTTTGGCAGAGCAGGGAAGGGCCCGAGGGCTGCCTGACCCCCGGGCAGGTGGCGGGATGACGCCGGGCAGCATGACAGTGGATTAGCCCTGATCAAGGTTTGCGTAGTTCGCAAATGGCATTAGCCGCCCCTGATGGAATCCCTCTCCCCCCGCACAAAATCCTGTTACGCTAATTTCCCTGCGCTGAGCCTCTTCGTTGCCAGTCGCCCGCCCGAATGGAGGCTGAAAGCGGCTTGGCCGAAAGCAGCCCCCCCTCATTAATTTTCTCAGGGTGGCCTCACCCGGCCCTTGCAGAGCTGCTGCGCGGGGGCCGGGGGGGTATCGGGGCAGAACGTAACAGGCCTTAAGCTGGATTTGCCACCGCAAAGAGGAGGAGGAGGAGGAAGGCTTGGGGCGGGGGGGCAGTGGCTTTGAGACAAGAGAGGTCACTCTAAAAACAAGCGGGGCAATTCCCAGAGTGGGCCAAAGATTTGGTGATGGTGACGTTGACAACACGCCAAGGGGCCTGGACATGAGGTTGGAAGCTGAGGGTGGCAGGGGCTGAGTAAATGATTCATTCCTCTCTGGAGAGAGAACCCAGGAGTCCTGGCTCCCAGCCCCGCCTGCTCTAACCACTAGACCCCACTCCCCTCCCAGAACCAGGGAGAGAACCCAGGAGTCCTGGCTCCCAGCCCCGCCTGCTCTAACCACTAGACCCCACTCCCCTCCCAGAACCAGGGAGAGAAC